GAGGATAAAAATAAAAACATCCTTAAGAAGAGAAGGGAATTGTCCAGAGATGCATGATTACAATGCACAAATTCCTTTAATTTTTTAAGTTACTATTTTTGAGAAAGAGAGAGCAGGAGAGGGGCAGAGAGAGGGAGAGCGAGAATCCCAGGCAGGCTCTGTACCGTCAGCACGGAGCTTGAACCCACGAACTGTGAGATCATGACCTGAACCGAAATCAAGAGTCATACACTTAATTGACTGAGCCACCCAGGTGCTCCACACAAATTCCCTTAGTGAGCATTTATTAAACATCACTGGATATCAAGCAAGAGAATAGGGCTACAAAGATAATCAGAACATCATTTCCTAATATGAATATATTCCCAGGAAGACACAGAAACGTATAATTATAACAGAATGATACTCATGGAAGAACAGCATAGAGGAAAAAGCACCCACTTTTATGACAAGCTCAGGGAAAATTTCACAGCACTGATTCTTGAGCTGCCTCTTGAAAGGTAAGTAGCAAGTTGCTAAGTAAGCAAGTGGGGGTAAGAATGTCTCAGACAGAGAGAAGTACAGAGTGCTGGGCTAAGAAAGAACATTGCACATTTAGTTCTTCGTGTAGGAGTAGAAGCAGGTGAAACTGAATGTTTATCAGCAATGTCATGCAGGACACTGCTAAAAGAAGGGATAAAACCATTGAAGGAGGAAGAGGGCAGGTTCAGTTTTTTGCTTTAAGACCATCACTACATTGGAAATAAGGAGACAGTTGAGAGGGATGCAAGACTGAAGTCAGGGAAGTAAGGAGGCTATTACAAATTTTCAGTGACAGGTACTGACAATCATATCCAAGGTATTGCTAATAGAAAATAGGGGAGACTATGGATTAACAAAAGATTTTTGTGGCAAAATTTATTGCACTTTGTAGATGGCTGGGTGTGGAAGATTAGAAAAAAAAAGACATAATGACTTCGGATGGCTAGAAAGAGATTGTCTATTTATTTGTTTGTTTATTTATTTATTTATTTATTTATTTATTTATTTAAAAGTTTGAGAGAGTACTTGCACATGCACTTAAGTGGGGGAGGGGAAGAGAAGGAAGGAGGGAGGGGGAGAGAGAGAGAGAGAGAGAGAGAGAAAATCCCAAGCAGGGTAGCAGGCTCCATGCTGTCCATGAAGAGCCCAAAGCAAGGCTTGATCATGACCTGAGCTGAAATCAAGAGTCAGACACTTAACCAACTGAGCCACCCAGGTGCCTCTAGGGAGAGATTTAGAATTTAGGAGTCCGATTTTCTGGATTTCACATATTCCGTGTTACCTCTACACGAAACTTAAGTTCCATATTGAAATATTTGTAAATAGTTTTGCTGTCTTTTGGGGACTTACCATTTTGTCATATTAGATTATATTTTCAAAGAAAACAATGGGAATACCAAGGTTGCTATCATTGGATTATCAGTCTTCAATTTTAATTTTTTGGTAACATTTATTTGTTATTGAGAGACAGAGACAGAACATGAGCATGGGAGGGGCAGAGAGAGGGAGAGACACAGGATCCAAAGCAGGCTCCAGGCTCTGAGCTGTCAGCACAGAGCCTGATGTGGGGTTGAACTCACAAACCATGAGATCATGACCTGAGCTGAGGTCGTATGCTTTACTGACTAGAGCCACCGAGGCACCCCCAGTCTTTATTTTTATATGCCCTCCAATCCTATTTTATCTTGCCAATTTAAGAGCTCTCTATATTTTTTCTTTCGATAACCCCTGTTTTGAGTGGCTTAATACTTGATATGTAGCTATATAGTAAATAGCTTAGAATATAAGTATATTTACAGTAAATACAATGGTGCTATTAAAATGCTATTAAATGTAACAGCTAAGTGTCTCAGATGTTCATTAACTCACTATAAAAATGAATCACTGTATTTTTATTTTTTTTAATGAATCACTTTAGATCAAATGTTTGCATTTGTTTGTCCATTCCTCAAGCCTATATTCAGTTAAATTTGATCATCATTCTTTTGATTATTTGCTGTGTCTCAGACTAAGTCTTGGGAATCCAATATTAGACCAATGCTTTCTCACAAAATCTCACAATGAATGTCTTCTACCTGTCATGTGCTATTTAGATGATATGGGGCCACAGATGTGTTCAAAGTCTAGTAAGTAAAACAGGTTAAGAAATGCCCTAAGTGTGAATATAAGGCACATTTTTCTAAAAATAAGTACTTAAAAAAAGAGTTCCCTTTATATTTGAGTCTTTATAGAGTGTCTCATGTTATTAGATTTCTCTCATTTAATTGTTATGAATAGTGAGATAATTTAACATCTTAAATGTTATTTCAAAAATTTTTTTTAATGTTTATTTATTTTTGAGAGAGAGAGACAGAGACAGAGTGTGAGCAGGGGAGGGACGGAGAGAGAGGGAGACACAGAATCGGAAACAGGCTCCAGGCTCTGAGCTGTCAGCGCGGAGCCCGGTGCGGGGCTCAAGCTCACAGACTGTGAGGTCATGACCTGAGCTGAAGTCGGACGCTTAACCGACTGAGCCACCCAGGCGCCCCTTAAATGTTACTTCAATACTGTGTACATTTTTACCATAATATACATCTAAGATATGTTTTTTGCTTTTTTACACTCTTAGGAGATGGTTTAGTTGTTAATCTGATTGTTAAGCTTCCCAAATCCATGGTTTAGTAAAATAATTTCTATGACTCCATATATAATAAATCCTCATCTGAAAATTTCTATAAATTTTAAAGAATTTTTTTAATACAAATAAAGGTCTAGAGTTCTTGAAGCCTTTTTTTTTCATTCTCAAGGAATAAGATTCTTGATATTTGAAAGTAAGAAAAATGTAGTTCTTTAAAAATAGGTTGTTGTGGGGCGCCTGGGTGGCTCAGTCGGTTAAGCTCCAACTTCAGCTCAGGTCACGATCTCGTGGTCCGTGAGTTCAAGCCCCGCATCGGGCTCTGGGCTGATGGCTCAGAGTCTGGAGGCTGCTTCGATTCTGTGTCTCCCTCTCTCTCTGCCCCTCCCCTGTTCATGCTCTGTCTCTCTCTGTCTCAAAAATAAACTTTAAAAACAAAAAATTAAAAAAAAATAGGTTGTTGAACTGGTTTCTTTATGAATTCCCAAACAATTTTAGGTTAAATCTGTAGCAGTAATATTGATGTCTTAACTTCAAAAAATTATTGGTTTTGTAATTTTTAAAACATCAAGTGGAAATAGATATGGTAAATAGTAAATTCCACAAAATCAAATATTTTTATCCTTTATTAAAAGAGTTTGATGTTATGCAGTATTGCAGTAATTGCTATATTTTTCAGCAAACAAAAAGAAAAAAGAAAAAACGAGTTCATGTATCCTAAACTAAGGAAGTTGTGAGTGGCAAATTAACAAGGGAAGAAGATGGGATTATAATTTAACTTCAAGTTTGTAGTGATTTGAGGAGCAGAACAAGAGAAAACAACAGTGCAAAATGTTTATAATCAGTGAAAATAATGAAAAATGGTATAAGCATAAAGATGCCTATTTAATTAGAAGAGATTAGGAATTTTGAAAACTGAAGAATATGAGGTTCAATAAAATTAGTATTGAATATGAGAAAATATTTAAATATTAGGAAATCGGGGCGCCTGGGTGGCGCAGTCGGTTAAGCGTCTGACTTCAGCCAGGTCACGATCTCGCGGTCCGTGAGTTCGAGCCCCGCGTCAGGCTCTGGGCTGATGGCTTGGAGCCTGGAGCCTGTTTCCGATTCTGTGTCTCCCTCTCTCTCTGCCCCTCCCCCGTTCATGCTCTGTCTCTCTCTGTCCCAAAAATAAATAAAAAACGTTGAAAAAAAATTTAAAAAAATAAAAATAAAAAAAATAAATATTAGGAAATTAAGTTTGTACCTTTATGTTCCTAGTTGCCTTTTTTCTGAGCATGCATCAACCATCAGAGACTCTTGAATGTAGACAACAAACAGGGCTGCTGGAGGGGAGGTGGTTGAGGGATGGACTAAGTGGATGATGGACATTAAGAAGGGCACTTGGTGGGTTAGGGACTGAGTATCATCTGTAAGTGATTCATCACTGGATTCTACTCCTGAAACCAATATTCCACCATATCTTAACTAGCTTGAATTTAAGTAAAATCTTGGAAGGAAAAAATGCAAAGTTAAAATTAAAACAAACAAAACAAAACTTGGTTTTAAGACTTGAACATTTGTGACAAGTAATGCTATAATTTTTCAACTCTTTGTAAAGCAAGAGCTGAATTGCATATTTTATGGACCTTTTTTTAAATGTTTATTTATTTTTGAGAAAGAGAGAGAGGGAGACAGAATCCAAAGTAGGCTCTCAGTGCAGAGCCCGACCCAGGGCTTTACCTGATGAATTGAGAGATCATGACCTCAAAGTCGGATGCTTAACCGACTGAACCACCCAGGCTCCCCTTTATGGAATTTTTCTTAAGCAGCCCTTTTTAATTCCTTAGTTTGCTACCTCTATCACAATTCTATAAACATCTATCAGAGATCCAAAATGGGAGGGAGATGCAACTTTATACATATAACCACTCTTGATGAATGTGGTGAGAGTACCTTCTTCTATATTAGAAAGAGAAATAAAGCGAAACTCCCTGCAGATTAGGAATGTGATTTTGATTTGTTAATTGCTAGAAGTTACATCGCAGAATGTTCTACATTTTAGTACATTAAAGTCTCCTGAAACATTGGAAGCTTTTCAAATTTATCCTTATTATTTCAAAATTAAAAGTTAACTTACATTCAGTTGGCTTCCTATTTATATGTGTTAACTCTTTTGGTCCTTGCACCACTTCTTTGGATAAGCATCGTCTTATGTTTTAGGACGTGGAAACCAGAGTTCAGAAAGTTTAGTAACTCTACCAAAATGACAGGGCTAGAAAGCAGTGGAGCCAGGAATACATGTCTCTTCTGAAAACAAAACCAAGGGTCTCTGGATTGTATCTTTCTCTTAAACTTTGATACTATTTTTTACCTTCTTTCATAGGGATTATTATGGAGAGAAGATTGGCATGTATTTTGTCTTTCTTGGATTTTACACGGAAATGCTGTCCTTTGCGGCTGTCGTTGGCTTAGCTTGTTTCATTTACGGCTTATTATCCATGGATACTAACTCAAGCAGGTACGTGCAACTGAATTGCCCAAACAGAGAAAACATCTTGATGTCATAATAACTGAAACAACTGCTCTTATTATTTCCCTGGCATTTGTTTCAGAGTGTCTCCTGGTGGCAGCAGATAATTGATATTTCTGATAAAAACCCAAATGTAATGGCTGCCCTCACCTAGTGCTTTACAGGGAAAAATCTATAAATGATCAGCTCTAAAGATTCTGTTTCTCAAAGCATGACTTGACCTACTACAGAGATTGCTGCTTTATTGTCCCTTCTGCCATATTTGAGAAGCTGTGTAAACTGTTGTTCTGTCACCTAAAAGCACATCACTTTTAAAATCACTTTGCTGTCCCCTCTGCAGCACTGAAATCTGTGACCCTAAGATTGGAGGGCAGATTATCATGTGCCCGCTCTGTGATCTAGTGTGTGATTATTGGAGACTAAATACTACGTGTTTGGCTTCAAAGGTATGTATGTATTGTGGTATGGGAAAAGACTTGGGATTTCTCTTTTTGTATTGCGTTTGATACTAAATAGTCTTTGTGATGTTATTGTTTTTGCAGATCTCGCATTTGTTTGATAACGAGTCCACAGTGTTCTTTGCAATATTCATGGGAATTTGGGGTGAGTAAATGGCCACATAAAAAACAACTCTCTCCATGTTATGTGTTATATGGTCATATAACATATACTGATGGCATATCTTATATACCAAAGGTGACTTGGGATCTTTGTGTGTTTGCTAACATCAGTACACTGATAGAGTCTACATCAGTGGTCTGTATTCCTTGGTCTTTGGTCCAAAAAAGGTCTTTATTCATCATCTGTTTATTTCTCTGAGAGATAATATAATTTTTGAAACTTTGTATATATTCAGCTCACACCGTCTCCCAGTGCTATGATAAAAAAACAGTTCAATAAGTATGTAATTCAGGAGAGAGTACACATAAATATTTGCTGGCTGGAAAATACTGAATCATAGATACAAAGTTGAACAAGAATCAACAACTGTTGAGGGCTGTTAAATCAATGTTTGAGTCCAAATTCCCTGTGTATAATTCTGGTTCCAGCTTCCAGTTATATTTGTTAGAAATCTTCCATATAAAGTAGAATTCCCCTTATTTTTGGAAATGTCCCAGTGTTTCATCTTTTTTCTTCTTTTTTTTCATCTTGTTCCTGCTGTCAGTGAGGAAAATATTTTACGTAAAGACTAACTCAGCAGGAGGAAACCTAAAGACTTCCAAAACATGTCCCAAATTTCAGGGGACTCTGGGAAGAAATAGATTTTTTCTTTCCAATTAAAAAAATTATTTAATAATCACAAATATGTGTATTTAAAAACTGGGCAAGGGAGCCAGGGTAGCTCAGTCCAGGGAAAAAGACACCAAAATTTGTGGATGTGCGTGAAGATTTATGGGTTTCCACTACTTGTGCTTGGCTGCTCTGCTCTGAAGACAGTGGCCTCAATTCAAAGAACAGAGAATAGTCAAATCTTACCAGCAGTTGTCTAATAACCCCGACGTTGTTAAGTACAAATACATCTTCATCACGTAGCTGCCAAATTTTTCCTCGATCATTACTTGGAATCAGCAGTGAACGAGAGGTACACAAATTACAGCAAATATAGTGGTTTTCGGTTGTTTGCACATAGAGAGATGGTGTACCAACACCAACCTCATACTTCATCGCAAACAGAGACACAGCCATATGCGGAACACCCAGACACTTGAAGTATTTTGAGGAGGTGTTACCATCGGTTCTTTCAGAAAAGTTTACGTTAGTAATGAATTGGTTTACCTTTGGTTTTTGAGGCTCGTGGCCGAATTCTAGGAAAGCAGAACTTTGGAGATATTTATTTTAGTACAGCCACTAATAAATCATTAAGCCGAATCAAAGGATGCGTTGGCAGAATAGATGTGAAGAAAACAACATTCTTGGTTAAAGGAATAACACTAGTTCAAGAGGTTGAGACGTGAAAATAATGCTTCCTATGCTTTGTAGTGGCAGATAGGAAATGCTTTTTATTTTTTTAAACTTTTTGTTCATAATGAAAATACATACTCATCATAGGAAACTTAAGTAGTATATAAAAGCAGGGAGAAAATAATGTTAAAGTTACTAGAAATGGAAACATTATCATGGCCATAGTTTTTCAGAATCTTTTTTTCCATGTGTGTGGGCATGTGTATAAATATAATTTTACATAACTGATATACATAGTTTTAAATCTATATTTTTATTAAAAACTGAGTGACAAGACTCCTTCCAGGGTAACAGATATGTGAATGTGTGTGTATGTGTGTGTGTGTGTGTGTGTATTTATGACTGAATGGAATTGCCTTAAAAATTTTTTTTGTAATGTTTATTTATTATTGAGAGAGAAAGAGAGCAAGGGAGGGGCAGAGAGAGAGAGACACAGAATCCAAAGCAGGCTCCAGGCTCTGAGCTGTCAGCACAGAGCCCCACATGGGGCTTGAACCCACAATCATGACCTGAGCAGAAGTCAGAGGCTTAACTGACCCAGGTGCCCCACTGTGTCCATTTTCTAATTGGATTAGTTTTGTTTTTGTTTTTGTTTTTGTTTTTTTGCTGTTGAGTTGTATGATTTCTTCAGATATATGAAAAATGATATTAACCCCTTATCAAATACATAATTTGCAAATATTTTCTTGCATTCTGTAAGTTGCCTTTTTATTTTGTTAATGGTTTCCTTTCCTGTGCTTTCTAGTTTGTTGAAAGTCCTACTTGTTTATTTTTGCTTTTGTTGCCTTAGCCTTTATGTTAAATCCAACAAATCATTGCTTTGACCAATGTCAAGGAACTTACCCACTATGTTTTCTTCTGGGAGTTTTATGGTTTCAGATCTTAGGCTCAATCAGTCTGTAATCTATTTTGAGTTGATTTTGGTATATGGTCTAAGACAGGGATTTGGCTTTGTTCCTTGGCAAATGAATATCTAGTTTTCACGAAACCATTTATTGAAGAAACAATCCTTCTCACATTGAATATTCTTGGCTCCTCTGTGAAATTTATGCCACTATGATCTTGTTTTGATTACTATAGATTTGTAATATAGTTTATAAAGTGTAATTACGATAGCTTTGAAATCAGGAAGTGTGATGCCTACTGCTTTGTTCTTCTTTCTGAAGACTGCTCTGCCTATTCCAGGTCTTTTGTGGTTCCATACAAATTTTAGTATTGTTTGTTCTATTTCCCTGAAAAATGTCATTGGAATTTTGATAGGGATTGCATTGAATCTGAAGATTGCTTGGGTAGTATGGACATTTTTACAATATGATTCTTGTAGTCCGTAAGCATGGAATATCTTTCCATTTATTTGTGTCATCTTGAGTTTATCAATATCTTGTAGTATTCAGTGTGCATATCTTTCACTTCCTGAGTTCTATTTATTACTAGATATTTTATTCCTTTTGATTCCATTAGAAATGGGATTGTTTTCTTTATTTTTCTTTCTGATAGTATGTGGTTAGTGTATAGAAACAACTAATTTATGGGGCGCCTGGGTGGTGCAGTCAGTTAAGCGTCCGACTTCAGCCAGGTCACGATCTCGCGGTCCGTGAGTTCGAGCCCCGTGTCGGGCTCTGGGCTGATGGCTCAGAGCCTGGAGCCTGTTTCCAATTCTGTGTCTCCCTCTCTCTCTGCCCCTCCCCCGTTCATGCTCTGTCTCTCTCTGTCCCAAAAAATAAATAAACGTTGAAAAAAAAAAAAAAGAAACAACTAATTTTTGTATATTAAGTTTTATCCTCAAACTTTACTGAATTCCTTTATTCTGTTTTTGGTGGAATCTTTAGGACTTTCTATACATAATTTAATACCATCTGCAAATAGAGACAGTTTTATTTTTTTCCTTTCCAAATTGTATGCCACTTATTTCTTTTTCTTGGCTGTTTGCTCTGGCTAGGACTTTCAGTAATCTTTGAAAAAAAGTGGCAAGAATGGGCATCCTTGTCTTGTTACTAATCATACAGGAAAAGCTTTCAGCTTTTCACCACTGAGAATGGTATTAGCTGTGGGCTTGTCCCATATGACTCTTATTATATTGAGGTACATTCCCTCCATACTCATGTTGTTGAGAATTTTTATCAAGAATTCTGTCAAGTGCTTTTGCTGTATCAGGTGAGATGATCATAAGTTTCTTTTTAATCATTTTTGTTATTAATGTAATATACTGCATTGATTGTGCATATAGAACCATCCTTGTATCCCTGGAATGAATTTTACTTTGTCATGGTGTATGAACCTTTTAATGTATTGTTGAATTTGATTTGCTGCTATTTTATTCAGGTTTTTTGCATCTGTGTTCATCACGGACATTTGCCTGTAATTTCTTTTCTTGTAATTTTCTTGCCTGGCTTCAGTATCACAGAAATGCTGCTTCCTAAGATGAGTTTGAAAATCTTCTCTTCTCTTATAATTTTGGCAAGAGTTTGAGAAAGGTTGACATTAATTATTTAAATGTTTAGTAGAATGCATGAGTGAAGTCATCTTCTCCTGGATTTCTCTTTGTGGGGAGGTGTTTGATTACTGATTCAAGGTCTTTACTAGTCATTTGTTCAGAATTTCTATTTCTTCACGATTCAGCCTCAGTATGTTGTGTGTTTATAGGAATTTATTTTTTCTTCTAGCTTTCCCAATTTGTTGGCATATACTTGTTAATAGTAGTCTTTTATGATTATTTGTATTTCTGTGGTATCAGTTGTCATGTGTTCTCTTTCATTTCTAATTTTATTTATTTGGGTCCTCTCTCTTTTTTCTTGGTAAGTCTAGCTAAAGGCTGATGTAATTTGTTTATCTTTTGAAGAAGAAAAACAGCTCTTAGTTTCATTGACCTTTTGTATTGTCTTGTTAGTCTCTATTTTATTTATTTGCACTCTGATCTTTGTTACTTCCTTCTTTCTACTAGCTTTGTGCTTACTTTGTTCTTTTTTTTTCTCATTCCAGGTAGTCTAAAGTTAAGTTGTTTATTTAAGGTTTCTCTTATGTCTTACTTAATACATGCATTTATTACTATGAACTTGCCTCCTAGAACTTCTGTTGCTGCAGCCCATAAGTTTTTATATGTCATATTTCTATTTTCATTTGTTTCCAGATATTTTTGTTTCTCTTTTGATTTCGTTTTGAGACATTGCTTGTTCAGAAGCATTGATCTAACATTTGATCTTTCCTAGGGAACATTCCATGCACACTTGAGAATAATGTGTATTCTGCCACTGTTGGGTGGAAAGTGCTGTAGGCCTCTGTTAAATCTATCTTGTCTAACATGTAATTTCTTCTTCTTTTTTTTTTTTCAACGTTTATTTATTTTTGGGACAGAGAGAGACAGAGCATGAACGGGCGAGGGGCAGAGAGAGAGGGAGACACAGAATCGGAAACAGGCTCCAGGCTCTGAGCCATCAGCCCAGAGCCCGACGCGGGGCTCGAACTCACGGACCGCGAGATCGTGACCTGGTTGAAGTCGGACGCTTAACCGACTGCGCCACCCAGGCGCCCCTAACATGTAATTTAAGTTGAATGATTCCTTATTGATTTTTGTCTGAATAATCTATTCATTGTTGAAAGTGGGGCTATTGAATTTCCCTGCTATTATTTTTTAATTTTTTTTC